GTAACAGCTCCCCCCGCCCCCTGCCTCAGGCCAAACCCTGCCGTGATGCTCTCCTCCAGGCAAGGATCTGCCCTTTCTCACACTAATTAGCCCCAACAGAGAGTGTGGGGTTGTTCCAGCATGGCCCACACGCGGCTCACGTACGGTCCCCTGCCTGCAGTCCCAAGAGCCCGACCCATCGGTACCTCCAGCTCCTCACGAGACGGCGGCAACGCCTGTCTGCTCGGGAAGGAGAGGACAAGGTGAGCGTCGGTGCGGGGAACAATCCTGCTGGGTTGCTTCCCACTCAGTCTCTTGTCACAAAGGCCAAAAGCGTCACAGGACGCAGCAAGAATAAAAAATAATCTTCAGACAGGTCGTTTCCAGATACGTCCTTTCATGAAACAGCACCCCTTACCGCCAGGGCGGGACACGGTGACGTGGGAGGCCCCTCCTCTGGCTTCAGGGGAAAATCTGCAGTTCAAACTTGGGTGCCCACTCCAGCGCGCTCTTCACCACGGCCAGGGCAGCTGCTCCCAGCGCGACTGTCAGCCCCATCACCGCCAGCTTGACAAAACGGTTGGTCCTTGGCTTTGTCAAGATGGATTTTGTCCGCTCCTCCCCTCGGAGCCGCTCCCTGAAGCGCTGCCTCAACACAGTGTCCGGTCTCTGTTGCACTGATGCCAACTCAAAGTCCTTAAAAGTGGAAGCCGCGGTTCTGTGAAGGGAAGAAACAGGTCAAGGAGCGTTCCCGGCTCACCTGCGGGACCAGGCTCCTGCCAGGGAGGAGGATCTTCCCAACGGGATGCTGAGAACCCGCGGGCTGCGCTGCACTCACCGTTCAGCCTGCTGCTGAGCTGCCTCCCTGGCAAGTTCAGACGGCGGGAACTGGACAAAAAGGTCCCCAGCTCTGCTGATCAGAGTCTCGTAAGGAAGGTCCTGTGGGATCTGGGACAAGAGGTGGTGCACAGAGGCCATGTCGCACTCGCAGTCCAAAACTTCCTGCTCCCGGTACAGCACGATCTGCAGAGAGGAGCAAGAGTGCTCAGCATAGCCAGGGAACTGGGGACGACTTCTGGTCACTCATTTCAGAGCCAGAAGAGGAAAACATTTTGCTTCCAGCTCAAAGACCTGCCCTTCCTCAAGGGAACACACAGCACTGAAGTGCTCCTCATCTGGGAAGAGAAATACCAAACCCTTCCCAAGACTCTGAGGCTGCAGAAAGCCCCTTCCTGGGCAGCTACGTCTGTCTTTTGAGCCTGCTACTGGCAGGTCAGAGAACGGGCAAAACCTCAGTAGGTTCCATTAATCCTCCCACCATTCCGGACAACACCTACCACGGCAGCGAAATAAATGGGCATCAGCGGATGGCAAGCCAGGAAGAAGTCATATAATCGCACGACGTGCCTGAAGTCGGACAAAACGTGCCCGAACCAGGTAATGAGCCAGCTGAGAGCGAAGATAGTTCCCACCTCCGCGCTGCACAGAGAGAAAGTGCTGTTAGATCGGCCGCTGGCCGCTTGGAAACAGCACCCGAGCGCTCCCGGGCCAGCCCCGTGCCGCTCCTCCCTGCTACGAAGGGGAGGCAGACCTGGAGCTCAGTCCACATCAAAGAACTGCACCTCTGACATGACCCTGAGGCAGAGGACTGCCACGACTCATCTCACACCCAGCAGGGCCCACGGCAGAGGTCTAAAAGCTCTGCTCTCAGGACAACCCGACCGTGAGATGTACCACATCGCTGGCACGCTGACCTGAGGACAAGTGAAATCCTGCAGCACAGCCAACGTTTCAGATTCCTCAACACCCTAAAGACTTACTGACTTCTGGGAGTTTGTTATCCAGCTTTGTACCCAAAGACGTCCTGGCCACAACACATAACAGAGGTCCTTGCCCAGAAAAGAACTCTGGACTGAACCTTCTAACTTAATTTCCTGCTTCTGCTTTCACCTGCCCTGGCTACATTGTCTGTCCCCACTGCAAACACTGGGAACCATCCCTAGAACTAGCAACAAACCACAGGGAGGTGACACCAGCCACAAAACTGGGCACCTGGAGCAGTTGTGGCAGCTTTGTGTGACACCATCCATAAGCACCCAGCCTTTCCAACACGGGCTGCAGACCGCTGGGGTGAAGGTGACACCCTTTAAAACTCCTCAAGTCAGGCAGCACAGGCTTGGGTCTGCTCAGCAGCAGGGTGCCACGTGGCTTTGGACTGTCACCATTTGCCGCGGGTCAGCTGTTGAGTGACTCCGAGGGAGCCACCGTGGTGCTGGGGACACGCTGGTGCAAAAAGCCCTGAGAGCAGTGACGTGAGGCTGCCAGGGCAGAGCGAGGAGGCTCCGAGGGAACGTCTGCGTACCTCTGCATGAAGTCATGCACGTCAGGGTTCACCTGGTCTATGATGGGCATCAGGTAATTTAAAATGTGCTTGGTGTTATCCATCGTCGGGTCCATAAAATCCCTGAGGGAAGATTTAAAAGAAGCTCCGTCAAGCAACCACGGCGGTGAGCTCTCCCTCCAGGGAGACAGCTCGAAGGCAAATTGACATACCTGCAGCAAACAGCTGGTAGTGGGGTCCCCAGCCCCAAGGAATTCTGCCTATTTGGGGCAGCCCCCTTCTCACCTATCTGGGCCAGGCGAGGCTGATCTGCACAGAAAACTCAGCCCCAGACAATCACGCCGGCATCAGCTGACACTTCTTATTTTGCTGCAGCGCGCATGTGAACTGTAAAGCCTTTCCAGCGCTCGAAACCCAACTCCCCAGCTGGGAGAGTGGAGAGAATCCCTCCAAACCACTCCCCAGAGGAAGGCTTATTCTCATTTCAGTGCACAAACAGGAGTCACTTGACTTGGGACACTGGATGGACCTTTTGGTGCAAAACCACCCCGGGCTGTTGAAGGTGAGGAGAAGACTCCGTGCTGAGCCAGTGCCCTGGAGCTGGAGAGGCCTCGACAGCAGAGCCGGCCGGAGAACTATGAATAATTCACGCACGTTGGCTTTTTCAACTTCAAGACACGCTACAAATTAACTGACAGCCTTCAATTATCCCTTCCCCAGAGCGCAGCTCCCTGCAAAGCCACGTGTTGCCACGCGGTCAGGCTGCTCTCCCTCTGGGTATGGCCGTGACAGGCCCCAACCCACGGCTCTGCCTGCTGGGCTCCCCGTGCCCCATCTGCAGCGGCGTCCCTGCGGCCTGAGGACACGCAGGCAGCTCCCCTCCTTCAGCTGAGCCCGCCGAGTACCTGAGATGATGCGTCGAGAGCTTTTCCACCAGAGCCGTGGCCAGTCTGTCGCCCACCACCAGCAGGAAGGTGACCACGATGTCATGGTAGCCCTGGTAGTAGTGCAGCTGGGGGTTGCGCTTGAGGACGTGGAGGATAATATCGATGAGCTCCTCCTGCAAACCCTCCCTCTGGTCATCGGGCATCCCTGTGGGGACAGCACGAGGTGGCCGTGGGACGGGCTCTGTCACCTCCCAGTGGCTGAGGTGGCCGTGGGATGGGCTCTGTCACCTCCCAGTGGCTGTGGGACGCAAGGAGAGCGCCTGTGCACCTGCCTGATCCCAAGGGAAGAAGCCTGAAGGGCTGGGAGGTAAGATCAGCAGAAGAAGTATCCCAAGTCCTAATCCTGTCCCCCAAAATTCTGCTGGCCCAGGGGAAGGTGGCCAGTTGAAAGGTTGTTTAATTTTTGGGGCTGCAGCGAATACTACCCACAAGGAAGTGACTCTGGAGGGTGGGAGCAGGGCATACACTGACATCTGTGCAGGGCTGAGAAGAGCAAATTGCACCACACAGTCAGTGCTGCACAGGGAGTTTTAAGAATTTTTCATCTGCCAGGGGTCATAGAAAAAATGAAGAGAGGACCCACTTTCACAGAAATCCCACCAACTGCATCAGATCGCGAGGCCTCCAGCGCCACAACTTTGTATCGCCCCCTCCTAACGACATGCGCTTGGGGACAGGATGTCACAGGAAAAACATTGTTCCTGCCACGCACAGCTGCAGCCAGCTTCTGGCTGTCCTTGTCAACAGATAAAACGCCCAAAGGCCAAGCAGAAAGTCCCAGTGGAGAGCCTGCAATGACAAAGTTCTCCTTTTCCCCTGCTTCACTAATGCGTCTAAAAATAGGCAGGAGGCTGCCATTCAAGGGCAAAAAAACCTCCGTACTAGCAGACCCTTCAGGAACGAGGCTTGCACGCAGTATCCGTGCTCAAAAGAGAATCAGAGCAAAGCAATTGTTTATGTAAAATAAAAGCAGCAGAAGTGGGAAGCAGAATCTGGCCAGAAATAAAGGACTGTTCTGCAGAGTTTGATAGCTGCTGGATTAAACGTTTTATAAATAGCACAGAGAGGCACCAGCCACCCAGTGGAATGGAACAACCGTAAAATCATTCTGCTTCTGAAGGTTCAGAGTTCTCTTAAATGTGGTGTGTGAACCTCGTTTGGAGACTGTCGTCCACCAGAAATTGTTCTAACCACTGATAAACCTGCCCCAGAGCTGGAGCAGAAGCAAATGGGACACTTCTCAAGCACTGAATGTGTCTGAATCTCACCCTGTTCACACCAGGCGAGGGGCACGCACAGGGTCTATTTGACGGCACCGGGCTGCTGGCAGTGCAGCTCAGCAAGGCCCGCATCGAAAACCAGCTGTGGCTGAAGGAAACCAAGAGCTGTAGAGTTGCTCTGCTGCAGGAAGAAGCTCACAAGGAAAAGGTTTTCTGAAAGTCAGGTTCTCAGAGCAACAGAGTCACCTCCCCGAGTAAGGTCTGAGCCAGCAGAAGCCCCATGACACAGACCTTCCCCTCTCACCTGGCGGGAAACGGCGCAGAGATCGCCGCACGTCCAGCAACACTTGCTGGTAATCTTTATTGTCCTCTCGCAGCTCCTTTCAAAAAAGAGGAATATGATTAACACTGAGTTGTGCAAAGGTATCGTGGAGAGAGCCGGGCCAGGGAGCTCCAGGAGACCCCGCCGAGGCTGCACGCACAGACATGTTGCCCCGTCGGACGTCCCCTTTTTTGTGCATCACGCACCAGCCCTGTCCCTTCACTGACACTCCTGGCAATTTGGTGCAAGGTTAATGAGACTATTATTTATTCAAACATACATTAAAATGCTTAAGCCATTCTCAGCATTCCTGGAAACATCCTTTGCTCCACAATTTTGCTGCGCACTCAGCAGTAGCAAAGCACCATACGCTGCGGAGACCACAAAGAACAGTTTAACAAATAGAAATAATTCAGGAGAAAACCCCACCCACAGGTACTTAAGAGAGTTAAAACAGAAGAGAAACGAATTTGCTGGCGCACTGAACTATCTGTGTGATCATGTGAAGCGAAATGTCGTCTTCCAGCAGCTCTGATCACCTAACAAAATCCAGCTCTTCACTGATGCAGCAGGATGACCACTTCTGAATGGTCACAGACTGAGGAATAAAAACAAAATTTGTCCGGGGGACAGTGACTGTAAAAACTACTGGACTTGGAACTTCTGAACTGCCAGGGTTTAAAAACCACGCCGGTACCTCGTCCGGAAAGTCATCGCCCCTGAACAAACATCACACAAGGTTCAGGCAACAAACTGCTTCACCTATGCCTGGGAGAGACACCTCAGACATATTTTGGCCATGCCAGGGCTTGGCACAACCACCTCTCCATGGGAGCAAGAAAAATTAAGTTTGAGCTTTCATTTGCCAACTCAGGGCCCCGCCGACCACATCCAGAGGGAACTGATTTCCATCACTGTCACTACAGACAACAACGCCCTCACAGCACAATGGGAACACTGGTTTTAGGAAGCCCTGGAGTGCACAGAGATCACCGAGCCGTCCCGCCAAAGCGCTCGAATCCAGGCTGTTCCGTACCTGGAAGAGGGGGAAGGTCGTCTGTATTCACACTTAGTAGCTTCGGCCACACTTTGCAACGGATCTCATCTGTCAGGAGCCCCCCCTCGCTGATCGCCATCCGCCGGAGCGTGGCCACGTCGATGGGGTCGCTGTTCAGGGCCTGATAAATTTCCGCCACTTTTCTTTTCTTCTTAGCATCAAAGTCTGTAAAAACATCGCAAAGAGGCAAGCTGAGAGGCAAGGCCAGCACACAGCGGGGGCGGCAACTCAGAGCAGGGGGTAAAAATCCACTCACAGCGAGGGAGGCGAGAGGGGACAGTGAGCAGGACAGCCTAGGGACGACCTCGGCAGGGCGCCCCGCCACTGACTGTCCCCATCCCTGCATCGGGGGCACCCCCACTGCTTCCCCACTGACCCCCCGTATCACAGCCCATGGGGTGACCGCTGCTTCTGCTGGCACTGGAGCTGCCAGCGCTGCCCAGGTGGATCCCTTGTCCTCGCCTCCCACACTCCCCCACAGGTCACAGCTCCTTTTGGGACAGTGACAGGCGCACAAAGCCACTCGGCAACTGTTTGCTCTCTGACGCAGCGGCCAACAAAATGTGGAGAAGGGTGGCTCTCGGCGTTCCTGCCGCCCCCCAGTTACACAGCGGCTCCTGGATGCAGCCGTCCGAGGGATAAGTCCCAGCATTTTCCCTGACGGCAGCAGCCACAAGCAAGGACGTGATCACACCGGAGTTAACGGATCACGAGCGTATTGACTTCTCTCTCAAACCCAAACTTGCCAGCTACACGTGCAAGTTAGCCGGCACCAAACAAATCCCACCGCTTCGTGGGGCACCTGAACTCAGGCACAGTGAGGGAAGAGAGTTACACACAAATGTGTTTAAAGGCCGTTTAGATGTGGTGTTGGGGGACGTGGTTTAGTGGGGGAGCTTTGTAGAACAGGGTTAATGGTTGGACTCGATGATCCCGAGGGTCTTTTCCAACCTGAATGATTCTAGGAAAGTGCACGGTGCTCTGGTTCCTCATGGGTTAAACACACTCACAGGACATGGGAGCTGCGAAGGGACACAATTTGATTTCACACTGCATCGTGGTGTTCATCACCGCAGCCCCACGCGGGGAAGGAAAAGCGGCAGCTGAGAGCCGCCCGATATCCCACACTGAGGAGCTTCCACTGAGGAGGCTCTGCCGAGCGGCTGGAGCACAGGACGAGGCTGCAAACGACGCCTTTACCTAACGGCTTTTGCGATGGATCCAACTTCTCTTGGGATTCAAATGGGATTTGCTCGATAAGGGACGTGTCCAAATAGGATTCGGAGTGGGAGGAATTAAAAGGATCCCGACGAAGCAGCAGCTGTTTCTCAACACCTTCCTCTGCCCACGTGGCACCTCCTGTGTCTCAGCACTGCCCCGGCCCCCTCCCTGCTCCTGGGGAGCTGCGGCCTCCGAACGGGAGACGTGAGGCTGCTCAGACACACGGACACCACGTAGGCCAAGCTGTGGATCCTGTCGCTTCTCAAAGTACTTTTTAAAACATTTTTTTGGCATAAAAACAAGCTGTGACAGCCTATGACAGAGCTCCCCTCCAAACCCCGAGTTCCCAGTAACGTTAAAGCTTCTAACTCTCACCCAGTGGCCGCAATTTCCTTTTACTTCCTTGCCCGCCCTTTGTGCGAGCAAAGTTATTCACACATAAACAGAAACCAGCTCGGCTCAGCTGGTCCCCGAGCCCTGCCACACGCACACAATGGGCTGGCACGTACCAAAGCCTCGGGAAGGAGCCTATGGAAGAAAAAAAACTTCTGTTCACACGCAAAGAGCTTAAGGAATTGGCATGAAGAAAGAAGCACGTATTGTGGGCTCTTCTTTTAAGGTTTACTGGCAACTCCCTCAGTATTTACACTGATGCAGAGCGGGCAACAGCTACAAGCACTAAAACCCAATAAACTGGGTTTACAATCCTTTTCTGCGCAGCCCCAAGCGCGGGTCACACTTTAGAGGAGAGACAGAAACACCGGCTGA